TATATATATATATATATATATATATATATATATATATATATGCGCTTTTATAATTTTATCCTGCGTTTGTATTTCTTTTGCGCTCTATTTAATTTAACACTTATTTTTCATTCTTATCCAATGTTGACTTTTCATTTTATTATGTTTCTTCCCGTTTTTCAAATTCAAAAATTTATAAATTCTGCAAATTATAAAACTCAATCTACAGTAATCTTGATAAATATTATCCCAAAATGTTTTAAATTATAAATGTATGAATTACATATATATAAATGTAAAATTAATGTTGCGATTTTTTTAAAAGTCTGTTTCTGAACATATAAATAATATTTCAAATATCTAATTTGACTGATAAATAATTTATATTTTAAAATGCATGTTTAGCATACATGTGTGTTTAGTATGAATATTTAGAACAAAAAAGATAGTGCCATATTTATTACTACAATTTTTAATTTTTAAAATAAACAAATATACCATTAAAATACCATTAAGTAAAGTAAACGATATTTATCGTTTTCTTGTTAGCTTTACATTGACGTTAATAAACGAAGAAAGAAAACAAAAGATATAATCATTAAAATAAGATTAGGAAATAAAATGTAACATTCTGTAATATAATAAAAATCTGGTAATAAATATAAAGAGAAAAATAGAAACAATAAACATTCTCTTTTTCTTTGTTGCAAAAGTTTGTCTCAGCGATACGTTTATAAACGTTAATTACTATAAAATAATTTTAAAGTAACTCATATTTCATGTTTCATCGAATTAGCTTTCTTTTAAACAGTAGAAATAAGATATCAGATATATTTAAAAATTTAAAGTGATGATTTTTGTTTAATTATAAAAGATATATTTTGTTTTATTATCAATAATCATGTGGAACGTGATATATCTTCCAATTTGTTATATGAACATATACAGTATGATGTATATTTGGTACATATTCGTGCTTTTTAAAAAGTAGAATTATCAGCACAAATATAATTTATAAATATAAATATAACATTCATACATACATACAATTTTGCAACAATTTAAAAATTTAATAGCATTTAATTACATTTAGAATATTGCAAAAGTAATCTTGTTTCAAAATCTTCGAGCAATCTTATGTGATTTTTTAAATATATTTTAAAATAAGTAATATTTATAATATTTATAAATTTTATAATAAGTAATATTTAAATATTTATAAAATAAGTAATATTTAATATTATAATTTAATATTATAATTTAAAAATAAGTAATATTTAAATATTTATAATATTTATAATACTTTACCCTTAAATATAATTAAAATAGCAAAAATAATCATGTTATTATACACATATAAAGATATATCATTTTATGAACCTATTACAGTTTTACTTTAATGACTATAAACACTATTTTTTGATAATATTATTTTTAATAATTTGAAATTCATTACAAACTTCTATCTAATTTTAATTTGAAGGAAAATAATTTATTTTTCTTATTTGATGAATTTATTAAATATCTAACGCTAATATTACGAAAATATGAATATTATTCGATATAACTTTTTAACGATTGCTTAAATTTCTTAATTTTTAGTAATAACATAATTGAATTTAATATACATGCGTCGAATCATACCATATCGTTTAAATTTGATTTATACAACTATATATATTTTAAAAAGAAACAAAAAGCAACATTTAGAGAATGAAAGAAATGAAATTTTCATTTACATTAAAAAGTATCGGTATTTCTGCAATTTTTAAATCGTACACTAATATTTCAATATATCTAATTTTTGTAACTCGAGTTTCGGAGAAATTTTATGAGGAAAATTGTCAAGTCCTGGGATGATGATGGGTGAGTATAAACTATTTGAGAACCTTTAATCGTGCAGACGATCCGTATTCGGGACGCAGCTGCAAACGTTTGCGCAACCAAAACAGCGCAGATTATAGTCACGTGACCGATGGTTATGGTGGGAATCGGAATGATCCAATTAGAGTGCGAATAGTATCCCCACCGTAGATTGCGTGAACAAAGAGATAAAGCTACATCGTTTGCGTCGACGGTCTCTGCCACTAGAAAGTCGTTGGCAGTTGTTGGGTGCGGTTGTTTTGTGAGTCAGAGGAAAGTGTGTCGGTTAAGTTTCGCGAGAAAGTTTTTCGGTGGTCACAAAGTGCAAAAAGTGAACCAGCGTGGGAGAAAAGAAGGTTACCGCTGCTGTGTCGTTCGAATTTTACGTTTCGTTTGCCTTGTCGATTCTCTTTGGTGCTCCAGAGATCGAAAAAACGATCTTAAACGCCGTTTACGATTGGAAAGATCACCAACTCTTAAGAGCTTAATTTCGACATTTTGGAGTAATCGTCCAAACAAATTTGAGAATTTGAAAACAAAACAGAAGCGGCAATCGCTGGAACTCTGTGTACATTCGAACTGTTTATGTTGAAAATCGTTGTCGATATTCGCGAAAGAATTATCGAAGAACGTTTGGTATTTCTCTTCGCGCTGGAGCGTCGACGAACAAATACTAAACGTGATCGTGCGACGTGGCGGCGACGCCATTTTGTGAAGACTCCTGTGTGCATTCCGTGAGCAACAACGGCCTCCCTCGAGCCGTGATCTCTCAAATCACGAAAGGAATATAGTGTTTTCTTTCGATCGCGGTGTTTCTCGATTTCCTCGGGAGAAAAGAAAAGAAAAGAAAAAAAAACAAACAACGGGAGAAGTGGCGGAAGAAGAAGAGGCGTTGTAATATTAACAAAATTTTGTCATAAATCGCATAGCAACCATGAGACTGGAAATTGTGTCAGCAGCGGACTTTTTGGTGCATTTACTGCGTCTTCAGACAGGCCAGTTGTCTGAACGTCAGCTGGAAATGTTCAAGTCTTCTCTAACGGAGGTTCTGCGTCATCGTTATAGGGATCACTGGTTCCCAGATCGACCAAATCGCGGTTCCGGTTACCGTTGTATACGCATCAACGGTAAAATGGATCCAGTAATTGCACAGGCAGGCGCCAATGTCGGTTTACTGCCAACGGTATTGCATAGCTTGTTCCCAAGCGAGCTTACCATGTGGATTGATCCATCGGAAGTATCATACAGAATCGGTGAAAATGGGTCCATTTGTGTTCTATACGAACGTACAGAGCCTGAACCTGAGGAATCTCAGCATCAACATCAGCACCATCAGCATCAGCATCAACATCAGCATCATCAGCATCATCATCACCAGCAGCAACAGCAGCAGCAGCAGCAGCAACAACAGCAACAACAACAACAATTTGAGAGTTGCAAGGATTCGTTACTGTTGGAGCACTCGCAATTTAGTGAGCAGATCGCTGCGTTCGTTTCCAGTTGAAGCGTTTTTTCACACAAATTCATCGATGCGAAGATATTAGCGTCTTGCTTCATTTTCATAGGATGTGCATCACGCTCTCGGACTGATCAAACCATATGCGTTTCATGATATGTGATCGCGTTTTTCCGGTCGGGTGAATATTTCACTCGTGCACACGAACGCGCTAATTCTATTCCGAGTCGAGTTCCGAAGAGAATCAAGTGTAACAGAGGCTCCTTTTTGTGCGCATTGTTTTATCAACAATGGACAACAAATGTATTAAAAAAAAATGTGTATAACCATTTTTTTCCCCCCTTTTTTTTTTCTTTTGCTAAATCCGGTTTATCGAAGAAATTCGTCCAATACGTATCGTCCGACGGGTTCCGAGTGACTCGCAATGATCGTTCTTACGATTGACTCTAGTCCAACATACATACGCGAGTCATCCTGAAGATGTGTCAAATTACAAAAAAAGAAGAGAAAGAGGATACTCATGGAAAGGAAGGTGGTAACGATCATCATATTCGAATGTTCGAGAAGAATATTGCGCGTTCGCGTAACGATGTGTACCCAGACCAGCGGTTCTCTTGCGTCCTGGCGTGTCTCGCGAAAAGATATCCAGTCTTTCTAGTTCTTTCCATTGGAAATACTGGTTGTTGACGAGATAACGCTTACAAATGTGAGAAAAAAAATATGAGCGGGCTCCGCGAGGATCTCTCTCAGGCAAATTGATCTCAGCTCTCCTCCGCGTACTTCCTTTGTTTATCCTGAAAAAGAAGTTACGCCTGGAATGGGGAACAACGAACCAGTCTGATCCCTCTCTGTTCCTCGTGAGAGGAAATGCGAAACGAGCCTCCCCTCGACGGGAAGGATTCACCAACGTGTTTTTATCATCGCAAATCTCTTTTCTTCCACGATCGTCTCTTACGTATCAATGTAATCGATTATTCCGAACTCTCTCTCGTGTTCTGACGTTCTATGCTCTCCCTCTCCTGATGAAGAATGAACATCGAGGACGAAGATGAAAAAAAAAAAAAAAGAAAGAAAGAAGTAACTCGCTCTTCGGTGGGAAACCTACGAATATTTACACTGCATTCTCTCTTCTGTCCATATGGCCATCACGCTGATTAAGCTTCGTCGAGGATTGTTTTCCTCCCTAACCTCGCACCGCCAATACAAATACCATTGAGCCACACGCAGCTACATCAAAACACATATTAGAATAAAAGACATATACATGCTTCTGTCGCCACTTCGTTGAACATGGAGGAAAAAAAATCTGTTGTCATCAACAGTTATCGATTCGATCGACGTCGACTTTTGATTTCTTTCTTTGACCCGGAGTTTCTCTTCACGGCATGCCGAAATCATTGGTATTGTTCACGGTCCGTTATCGTTCTGAAATCGTCCGTCGGCCATTGTTCCATTAATCGTCGGTTGTATCGAGTGATTTTGAACTCGACCCATGCGTTGGCATCGTTGACACAATAAGAACACACGTTACACTTCATACGTACAAACCTTTGACAAAAAATGCGTGAGTTTATATGTACATATAAATATAGGTATTATGTATGTGAAAGCATGTGTTATATACGTGCGAGCGGACGGAAATCATACTTGCTCGCATATACATATTATGTCAAGTTGTATATTATGTGTGAGCGAATGTGCGAAAGAAAGAAGAAGAAAGTGAGTGAGCATGATAGAGAGAGAGAGAGAGAGAGAGAATGCGTACGTGTATGCATGCATGTATTAATGTACGAGGTGAATGAGAATAAGGAAACATGAAATAAACAACTGTGATTTTCTTCGAAAGAAGAAGGGATGTGTTTTGTGCATATGTCGAATAATAATCTTTTCTGGTGTTTCGAACGTGACAGAGTGATCGAGCTTGACGAGGAATACATGTTGGTACGAATCAGAAGTGAGAAAAAAGAATGAACGTCATCACGTGGTTATCTTTCAATCGGTTCAATCGATTTGCACTTTGGCAACATTGCTCCTGTTTTCATGCCTTTGAACAATCTTTCTTTCCTATTATTTTCAGTTGCCTATCTTGTAAAATTTATTTAGCAACTTTATTTTACTCACATATATTTATAAAGTATTACTCGTTCGTTGCAATAATTGAATGCAAT